TGTCTATGGTTGAATACTGGCTGTAGTTGTATGTTTGAGAGAGAGGTCTGTAACTATTCAGCAATGGATTTCATCCTGAGTCCATAAGATTGTGATATGCCCGGAAAGGGATATATTTGTTCGAAGTAGCAAAGTGGTTCTTGACTACTGGAACCGGGTAGGACAATCTAGCAGATAACCATAATGGACTGGTCCTTGTCGTAGTGGTAGGCAATAGACGTAGGCAATAGGCGAAGACAATAGGTGTCCTCTTGTACCTCCACATCAGTCTGTCTTTATGGCTGACACCAGACAATCATATCACTGTGAGGGGGAACCCAGGTGTATGCATATTCATTACATCAGGTCGTATTCTCTTTTTGTTCGAATAGATCACAGTAATTAGGTTCAAAGGTACTGCTGCAAGCTGGGTTACTCGAGCATGATTTTATTTTAACATAGAACTGTAGTGCCAGATTATTGCGCTTTAAATGTGGAGGTGTTTCATTAGCTTCTGTGTGTAAGCTTTCTACTGGGAATGTTCTAAAAGCCCTAAGTCTGAGGTCTTGATGATAGGGTGCGTTGAGTATTTTTAGGTATGATTCTCTGGTGCCCCATATATGAAACTAGCGCAATCCAGTTTTGAGCGAAGTAGTGATCTGTGCTATTTTGATGCAGGTTCACCGAAAGAATGCTTCCTTGTGAAATAACCTTTCTTCTTGGTTTTGCAGTTGCATGGTTCCTATATGAACTTGAAATCTTCGGTCTTCCAAGAAATTTTCTATGAACTGAGTCAGCCTTATTTTGAGGCCCACTTCATGCCTGTTTTTAAAAATGTCAAATTTCCATGTTGTATCACACGACATTTTACAACTCATAAAGGACTGCCGTAAGATATTCTTTCTTAATGAAGGCTTACCTCACAAAGGTTTTTAGGCGTACTAAGTAGTCTATAATGCTTTTTTCCCTGAAAGCACAGTGAAAGTCGTTGATTTAACCCTTAGTTTCCCGATACCAAATCAACCTGTTGCTGATCATTTTGTCCATAGTTTTTGTATAGGCAACTGGTTAATGTTACCAGTCTGTAGTTTTCAGGGTCTGTGTCATCCTTTCCAGGTTTCAGAATAAAGATGATGAATGTCTGTCTCTACATTTCTAGGAAGTAGCCATTCGTCCAAATGACATTATACATTTTTATTAATAGTTATAATGATTTCTTGGCTAACTGTTTTATAAACTCGTAGTGGATATCATCTGGACCCATTGTGGGTCTCCCTTAAAGATTCATTTTGTTCCTCCAGAGTGAATGGTAGGTTACAGCTTACGGTATTATTTGATTTAAGTTTAAATTTTGTTTTCTGCTTTTTGTTTGAGCTTTAGATATTGTTGGCTACCATTCTTGGCAGATGAATTTTAGAGATTGTTTTGGCTAGTTGCTCAGCAATATCCTTTTTATTATTTTAGAGTTATTTGGCGATAAGTATTTTATGATATTTATTTGGTATTTGCCTGTTATTTTCTTGATCTGAATACACACCCATTTTGTTTTTGTAGCAGAATTGAGTCTATTAACATAATTTTTCCAGAATTCTTTTTTTGGTTTCTTTACTTTCCTGCTAAAATTGTGTAGAGTTGCTAAAATTGCAGCAAATTAGAGGTTCTAAGTTTTTTGTTGAATTCTCTCAGATCTGTTCTTCTTAGCCTGAAGGCTTGTTTTCATTTTACACCTCCATTTCTTCCAGTTTTTCAAATCGGTTTTGGGTAGGAATTTGGCCACTGTGATTTTCATCTTTTTGTTTGGCTGGTTCTGTTTTTGAAGGAGATAAGTTCTTAAATTTATCTTTAATGTTTTTTAGTGGAAAGATAGGGGATAACTGTGACGTCTGCTTTGTAGGAGATTTTGTATTTTTTGAACGAGTGGTTTGAGTTCGAGCAGTAGACTTGTATTTGTTTTTCATTTATTTATGATTCCAATTCTTTCATTGGTTTTTCTTATGGGATTCAGTCTGCACTGAAGATAGAACTTTTAGGTAATTCCAAAATTTGGGACAGTCATTAGGTCCTAAGTGTACAAGCTTCTCAATGAGGGCTCTGTTTTTGTCAGGTTGACTGGAATCCGGTTTGGTCATTCTTTTCGTTATTTTTTGCATACAAAAGGCCTTTCTTGTAGCGTTCTACCATTTGCCTTGCCTCCATGAATGAGACATTTTGTTTATGTTTCACCTCAACTATCTCCTTTACCCTTTTCCAGAAGTCGCATGATCGGGAGTATGCTGGATAATTTTCCTGGCAGTTAGCACATTTTACTTCATAGTGGCATTCTTTTTCCATGTAGTCAGAATCTTTTTGGATACATTTTCCACATGTTGAGTGACTCCTGCAGCTATACATATGATACCCAAAGTTTTGGCACCTGAATCACCTTAGTGGAGCAGGAGTATATTGTTTCACTGGCTGAAAGTTGCACCCAAATTTTATTTTTTTAGAGAATTTAATGTGTAACAAAATTAAGGATATACTTGTCAGTTGTTACAGTTTCTCTTTTCCTTTTTATTGTGATTCGACTGTAATCCCTGACAGCTTGGCTTCCTAAGGCAGATGTGATTTCCTCGGGTGTGGCCAGAGACTTCTCTAGGCTTCTCCCTTAGAAGTGTTCAGTTTTCATAGGCAAAGTTTTTATGTTGATGTTATGGAAAGTTTTCATCTTGACTAAAATTTCTGCGTTTCTTTTATTCCACTTCTACTAGCAAATTGCCATTTCTCACTTCCTTAATTGTTTTGGGGTTAATTCTACTAGATAATATCTTATCAGTCATAAAAGGGGGAAAGATTTGCTAGAAGACGCGAGCATAAAAAAATCTTTGGAAGTCAAAACATTTCTTTTTCAGAATCTGTGTCTGATGTCGTTTGGGTTTTTTCTCTTGGTTGTCCATTATTTTGATATAGAAACATGTCACTGCCTGTGCTCCCACCTACCCCAGAGCCCGACAATGGGACGGTGTCAAGAGGGAAATCCAGTTGCCTTGTTAACTCTCCAAGTTTTCGTTTACCGCTGTAGCCGGGTATTGAACTCACAACTCAAGGACACATGGCCCAGTGGATAAAGGTGTTGGTTAGATCCAGTGCCTAGACCCAAACAATTGTGAGTTCAATACCAAGCTACAAAAGTGGTGAACCAAAACTTAGAGAGTATGCAAAGGGAAATGACTGAGACACCCGAAAGAGGTATGAAACGTGGAATTAGAACAATCTACCCCGGTGGACGAAATAAATGGATCGGTTCGAAATTTTAATCATCTGACGAAGGCCGGAGCGTACAACGGCCGAAAAGTTGTGAATATGGCAATGAAGATGAGGATAACAGCTCGAACAATGTTAAGTAATCATAACGCCTCATCTAAGAGAGAATAGACAGATATTAATAGTGGGCAGTTTACTACATAAATCCATTGTATGTTGATCTCTTTACGTAAGCTAAAACAACAGATACTCATACCACGTGATCTCTTATAATTTTAGAAACGAAAATCCTTGAAATGTCATTATTTGGAGTACTGCTTTCTTGCATTACTCTTGATTAACACTTCCAGATTACGTAATTTCGAAAAAAGAAAATTATTAATTTTCATTTTAAAAAATCACGTGGTTTACGCATATTTTCTTTTTGCTAACGCAGGAGGATCAATTTGTAATGACTTTCCATAACAAACTGAGTTCCCTATTAACTTTGTATAATTTAACTTAAAAAATAGTTTCATATTGATGGTCAGTAGTTCATAATCTATAGTTATATGAAAAATATGGAAAAAAGTCCTCGTGGAAATTGTAAACGCCACCCAATTTTTTTGATATTTACTGAGGCGGTATAAAACAGCCGCGGAAAAAAGTAAATAAAAATAAAAAATTAATAAAAATAGAAGATTTCATTACTGATGAGACTTGCTGACACTTAATCTCCAGTTTCATCTACTTGCTACTTTTGATGTGAAAAACTCAATTAAGGAAATATTACCTGCTTCAGCATTTTCTGGGCATTTAAGTAGTCTCGCTCTCGCATAATCAACAATGATAACCTCCAAACATTTCATGTGAACACGCAAAATTCATGACATAATAATAGTAATAATACTCAAGTTATTTTTTTTCCTTTTAAACAACCACCAAAAGTTCACTTACTTAAAAAAAGAAAACTAAATATTTTATTAACGCATCACCAGTGACGTATACAAAGTTCACTGTCTCCTGAGTGCATACTCTCAAACGCAAACTGATTCAGGCGAACGCACATTATACGCATGCGTCAATAATGTCGGTGTAAAATTTTCCATCGTACATTACAGGCGTATAAAAACGCACAACGATCTAGAAAGACACCCATTATAATATGCATGCATCTAATTATAGATTCATGACCACAAGTAAATTATTTGCAATATTCTGTAAGTGAGATATTTCTGGCAGTATCTCTTTTCAGTTCTGGCAGTAGAATCACACGAAAGAATCGAAAGATGGACAAAAAAACTGTGTGAAAATAAAACTTTGAACGAAACCTTTAGCATGTGTACGCGCCATATTAGGTGAGTCTGTATGTCTGTCTCCGTGTGTCTGATGGCGGTTCGGTAATTACAGATAATGAAATAAAATTGCGAAAATTTAATGGAGTAGCCTGAATTTGTATGAGAGTATAGTGTCTGTGACATAAAGACGTCAAGATTGGCAATTTTCTCGCACTCCCGCCTCGGTTACGCCCGCACTCTTTGCCAACAGAAGGTCAAGGTCGACTCTGGAGTTAGTTGAGCTTTCCGGTTGATCCAGCCTCGTTCCCGCCTTTATTTTGATGGCGCGTTCAAAAAGCGGGACTCCATTAAAGAAAAAGAACTCGGATCGAATTACGATTTCCGCTTGTTTTCAAATCACCATTATTGGTTTCTTTTAGTCTTCATTTTCATATAGAAATATCCTCACACCGTATCGATGGAGGAGATTCTTTCTATGTATTTTATTTACTATTTCGAACGGTTATGTCTCATATTCTATTCTTCTCTCATTTCTTCTTGCATTCCAATATCTTCCAATTAGGTTCGTTTTATTTGCCTTATGAAATCTGTCTTCCCTCCTACCTCGACTCACTCTCTAATTTGCTTTATGTCTTCTATTTATTTTCTTTCTTTTTTTTTTGTCTTAATGTTTCTTTCTTCCTATTGTCTCTTTACTTCTTTCTTTTTTTTATTTCCTTCATTATCTTCGATATCCTACTTTTAATTCGTAGCGCCTGTCTCTTTTGTTTCAGTTTCTTTTTCTGTTTTTTGGGGTTTTTTTTCTTTTTTCTTCCAGTCACCTTTTCTTACTTCGTAATGCAAATTCTAAATTTCTTTTCTTTACCGCCTATCTCTTCACTTCCCTTCTTTTTCTCTCTCTCTCTTTCTTTCTTTCTTTCTTTCTTTCTTTCAAAATCTTTTTTTTTTTACCTCGTAGTGTCTGTCTTTTCATTTTTTTTATTTTTTCTCCTCTTTCTTTCTTCATCCAACCATTTTTTCTTTCTTCGTCTTGCAAATTCTTCGCTTTTCTTTCTTTTTTCTTTCTTTCTTTCTTCTTTTTTTTTTTTTCGTCCGCTTTTTTAGTTTTCCACATTCTGCCCTTTCCTTTTTAATATTTTGCCTTCTTCAACGGCACCTATGCAAATGCACTTCATTGGTGGAACCACTGTATCATTATCGGCACTCCTACTTCGAACATTGTGGACTGGCGCTACATATTCACAAAGACCCTTACCAAATAGCGCAAATCAGATGAGGGCTACCAACAAAAGCAACAATTAAATTTTATAGCAGATGTAACTTGACGACGAATATTTTATAATAATTTTAACAGAGATAAATTAAAATCGATTGCTGCACTGGCTGCTCAGTAAATAAACGCCGAATGTTTTCTTGTTGCAGTCGATCATAGTTGACATCATAATGATCCTTTCCATAGCTATAAAGTATGTGCTACGCTAGGGCTACATAGAGTTTTGAATTCAGAGTTTGCCTTCTCCCAGACCGGTTGCCACTCAAGGATATAGAACCCAGTCTGGCTTACTATTTACCCATAGCTGGGATGGGAAGAGATGGATTCATACCTTTTCCAAGCACGTAAGTGAATGTAATGATCGCGTCTGAAATTCGAACTCGGCTCTTCGATTCCTCAATTCGAGTCGCAATCCATTACTCCACCATACCTCCTTTTACGGAAACAGCTAATGCTACCACTACCATTACTATTAATGTGAGATCTATCCTGTCAAAATTATCATTTTTAACAAGCAACACGAAGATTTTTGTCTAGCATTTAAAATCATACTAACAAAAGAATTAACTAGCAGATTCTACCTCTACCTGCGACAAATTGTGTACCCACGTGACTTAAATTCAAGTTACTGTGCATTTTCTTTTTTCAGCCAGACAAGTGGCCAGGCTGCTCGACACAACAGCTATTGGTTAAATAGCAGACTGGTTAACTATGGGACAACAACTCAAAATTTAATCAAATTCAAAAGCGTTTAGGTAGGTTAAGTTACTTAGTGTATCGAGGCTTTGGCTTTATTTTCCACAAGGGAGTTTAATGGCCCTGGGGAGGATAACACCATAAAAGGAAAGCGTTCGTCGGCGAGCAGGCGACTTCGTCATAATAACCTGCAGAAAGGCTAACCAAGTAAAGAGATTTCTCTTGCTAAGTATACAGTGTAACATGGTTCTACCCACTCCATGATGCTTGGAAAACAGATATTACTGGCTAGGTTTCTTTATTCTTTGAATTCTATTTCAAATTCTGACAAGCTGGTTTAGAATAGCATCTTAATATCTCGTCATAGGACGCATCCGAATTGTTCTGTTATATTATACTTTAATATTCATTTTTTTGTACTTTGGTTCACCCAATACAAGGCACAGAAACCATTCAAGGTAGATATTTACTGAATGAGATTGTTATATGTGCTACAGTGGAAGAAGTAAAGAGTAATATATTATGATGCTATGTAAGATAGATAACGTTTGAATATAGCTTTGATTGACACAAGATTATAGTGAAAAGACTCATGAAAATAAATGATGTTTAATATATCAGTAAATAAAAATTAAACATTTCATTTTAATCACTGAGTTGATATCCACGTTTTTTCTTAAACTGCGAAATTAATAACTAACAAACTAGACTGAGAAGTCTCCAGTTTAGTCAGTTACGTGCCATGCGTGATACACGCTTAGGCGATCATGTATCTTTCGATACAAGACTGACGAGGCAGATATTTTTCCTCGGTAGGTTGCCATTTCTTTTTGCGGTAGACCAGTTGCCATTCAATGCTATAGAACTCGGATTGTCCTTCTATTTACCCATAGCTGGGAAGAGAAGAACAGAATTCATACCATTCCCAAAGGCGAACTTGAATAGAATTCGAACTCAGATCGCAGTTATAAAAGAATCAGAAGACACATTTGACGAAATGATAATAAAGTATTAGAATAGTATCATAAAATGGCATCGCAACTACCCAATGGTAATTTAATAATAATGCTCTCCTGATTTAATATATATATATATATATATATATATATATATATATATATATATATATATATATATATATATATATATATATATATATTCCCTGCAAAATATCCACGCAAAATCGGCAAAAGAAAACAAGGAAGAAAAGCCCATCTCCTTGTATTAATGAAAAGAGAATCACCAACGGAAAGGCATTTTATAGAAGACACGTATTTCATTAACATTGAAGAATTTTATTTAAAAAAAGAAAAATGAATTATGATTAACGTATCAGAAAATAAAAGAAATTCAACTTTTCATTTATCAGAGGATAAATCTAGTTTACATTTTTTTTATTTATATATTTTATATTTTTAAATATTTTATATTTTTAAATATTTTATATTTTTAAATATTTTCTGTAATACCCAAATGAATATTCAATATTTTTTCTGAATACCTATTTATTCAAATTGTATTTTACTTAGCTCTTTGCGAATAAAACATTTTTATAAATGATTTTCCGATATTTTCTTTCTTTTACAAAACTTTCTTCTTAAAGCGCTTCTCCGACTCTTATAGGAAATTTCTGTATATTTTTGTCTTTAATCTTCTGTTTTTTCGAAATACGTCAGTTTTAAATTATCAAAGTTGTACCTAGCGGCGTTATTAAAGTACATTGGAACAAACAAAAAAGAAAATAAATACTCGAACACACACACATACATGTGTGAGTGTGTGTGTGTCTGTGTGTGTCTGTGAATATATAGAGAAAATATAGTGTTAAAACATTACACATATCATCTTTAAGATATATATGTACGTATGTATGCACAGAGACATATTATCTTGCGTCGAAAGTATGACACGCAGTTTCATGTTCAATACAATCTTCAGGTACTTATAATGGTCACAATCGTTAATATTTCCAAAAATTCTAGGTCACGTGGAAACAACGTTATATGGTATATTAATTCTACGTTTAATAATTATAATCTAATATTGTGGTGTAGCTCTGGATACAAGTTACAAAATGATACGGTGGGGATGAAAATAAAAAATAAAATAAATTAAAAATAAAAAATTGAGACTTTTTTTAAAAATCGTTAAAATTAAAGGGATAGCGAACCAATGTAGGTAATATATATATATATATATATATATATATATATATATATATATATATATATATATAGTTAAATTCCCAGATCAATTCTGTGGCCAAGACAGATTGGTATAAAAATGACAATTGAAAAAATTTGTTGTTATAGTTGCATTAAAAAGTCCAAATTTATAAATAGACGCTTCTGTCAAGCCTTTTCTGGTTAATGCAAATTACCTTTTATAGTAAGGGATTTTTTTTTCTATGCCGACAATATAGTTAAATTCCCAGATCAATTCTGTGGACAAGACAGATTGATACAAAAAAAATATATATATATATATATATATATATATATATATATATATATATATATATATATATATTATTATATATATATATATATATATATATATATATATATATATATTCATATATATATATTTTATTCATATATATATATATATATATGAATAAAAGAGAAAAAGTAAAAATATAGTTAACGGACGCTTTTTGTTGTTTGAGGGAATGTAGGATTCATTTTACTGCACGTGTTTATATACAAAAGCAAGGATGTCATTGGTTTATCAAGTTTTTAAATTTGAAAACGTTTATGAATGTTCATCAGGTGGTTGAAAGGTCAGTCAAAACATATGGAGGACACAAAGTGCCATAACTCAAAGTCTGGCAAAAAGTAAGCGAGTAATATTCAAGAGTTCTTTTTTTAAGAATATTTTTTTAAGACTGTGATTAGATTATGGTATGAGATGGACGTATATGCTGTACATCTTCAAAGGCATGAAGAGCGTGATTTTGAAAACAATAGACTGCATTATTTACATTATTCGGACTATTGTCCTCATCTTTGTCGCCATATTTATTACAACGTTTCGGCCATTGTACGCTCCGGCCTTCTTCAGGTGGTTGGAATGTCGAACTGAACCTTTTATTTTGCCCACTGTGGTAGACTGTTCTAGTTCCACGTGCCATGTTTAATGGATGTCAGCTATCAGTTATCTCCTGTTAATTTTCCCTCTGAAAGTTCTCCACTGACTTAGCTGGGTATTGAACTCACACTCTTTGGGTTCTGTCACTAGATTTAACCAACGCCTTTACCCACTGTGCCATGTGTCCATGGCACGTGGAACTAGAACAGTCTACCCCAGTGAGCGAAATAAAGGGTTTAGTACGACATTCCAACCACATGAAGAAGGCCGGAGCGTACAATGGCCGAAACGTTGTAATAAATATGGCGACAAAGATGAGGACAATAGTCCGAATAATGTAAATAATGTACATAATACGTCATCTCAGAAACATAGACAGATATTAAATAGACTGCATGCACATTCGAGAAATCGTTATTTTACTGAAAACTATTACACAACCTGAATAGTCTCTTCAGGACAAGGGAGTGTCGATCACCGCTCTCCACAACTTCCTATCCTTTGAAGATTTAGATAATATTTTTCTCCTTATAATACCTCCCAGTGGGTGTTCTGCTATCCATTTACACTAGCTCGTTAGGTAGGTTGCTTGTTTTTGCCCTCTCTTTCGTTCTTGGGTGTGTCAAATTCACTAAGCCCTTTTTTTCTCATTATACAGTATAAAGATACATTTATAACGGCATGAAAAGCCTTAATGAGTTGTCTAATGCTGGATTTTGTAATGGGCACCCAATGAGAATCGAAATCACAAGTAATGGTCAACCAGATTAGCCTAGCTAAACATTAGATGTCATAACGTGTGTTTGTTTCACAGACTTTCATCTAACTTTATGATTAACCCAATTCAATCGGAATCCAAGTATTTCTAGCTAATTCTAGTTAGAGAAATCCGTCCCTAATTCACCACGCATTGTCAACTGCGGGTTGGTTGGGATATTTAACCCATATTTGCGGGGCCAATTCAGAGTTGAATTATGGACAAATTTTTCTTTACCACGTTTCGTTAATGCCCCCTTAGCCATCATATTGATAAAATGATAGTATT